AAAGAGTTAGAATTCTAACATTGTGTCAAGACCTACGGGCCAAGGAATAATCTCTAATGAACAGTTTCTATAGGGCGTAGGCCTCCTAAAAGGTAATGAAGGCGTACAGAGATTTGCTTGGACCAGACGGAGATAATGCTAACGATTTTTTTTATTGTCATCAAGTACAAGGTATTCTAATTAATATAAGATCAAGGATACAATATGAAAAAAAAAAATGGAGATAAGCGAAAAAAAAATTGAAAATAAGGACCTCCTTTTAAAATGTGATAATAGTTAAAAAAAATCTTCCCACTTTAATTGCATTAAAAATTTGGATTTTGCCATTTGTACATTATGCTCGACATTTGCTTGTCAAAAATTGATTAGATGGGAAATTAATTTGTTTTTTTAAACTGTCAAATCACATTTTGTTATGTAGATGATTGCAAACAAGAGTGTACACCAAGCACGATTGTAAAAATTTATAATCTTTGCTTGTTACAATAGTTAGTCCTCGACTTTTCTTTTTGTTGCATTATTACAATCTTCCACTAATTAACGCTATTGATTTTTAACCAAATATTCTGTCACGCTTTAAGACTATATACACCCTGTAACAGATTTTTTGAAGAAAAACTATCATCAAAGATCATCCGTGCTAATTAATATATATATGTTATGATCGCAATATAATAATTTCAGTGATGACATTCGTGGTAAATAAAGGGATGGAGAAGCTCTTTGGATTAGAAGCGTTAAATTAAGATCAATTTTTTTTTTTTTAACTAAAAATCTAATTCCGGTATAATTTGAAAAATATAAAACAAGATTCAAGACTAATTTCGAACGAGAACCACGATCTTCATCCCCGTCAAATTCCCCAGCGGACGGGGCAAGACAGGACGGAACATTTTATCATCCCCACCCATCAAATGAAGCACATAGACAAAGTCCAACACGTTCAAATAAAAAGGGTAATGTGAGATTTTAACATCCAATTGAACTGAAACTTGCATGCAACAATATTGTAATATCTAAATCATTGTGGCCACATTAAGCTTAGCCCCTGTTTTAACCAAAAAAAAAGGTCTAGGCTCTTTTAGTCGGTGGAGTTAAAATAAAAGTTAAATTACCAGTTAGAATAAAAAGAAAAATTCAGAAGCAATTTTGTAAGGCAAACTCAAATATCAGAAGCCCCGTGACAAAACAAAACTCTGGGTTAATCCATTTGTACATAATGGATTACCCTCCTCTCACATAATGCGCGGGGCCCACATGTATTTAAAAATTCCGACAATATGATCCCCATCCCCATTGTGAGTAGTAGGTAAAGAATTTGGTAAAAAAATTCGGTACACGTAACATGATCCCAAAACTCTGGACTTTCGATTGATTCTGACAAACAAATCAAATAAAATAGAATCGAGAATTGTCTAACTACTGCAATGTCGGCAATAGTAGAATAATTGCTATTGTACAATCCAATCATTTCAAAATATCTCTTCCCATCAAGAAAAAACACACATCACATGTAAGAGAGGTGCACCTCAAAGAGATGCTGCAACTTCCTGATCCAAGCATTACTTGTTCCCTCGGAAATACATATATATTTTCTGCAAAAGAATAACTCATTAATACACAAAACACAAATTTGCGCAATAACATGAACAAACAAAGTCTGTAAATCCCATTTGCTGAACAAAAATACAACTCAAGAATTCCCCAGAGCACCAAGCCTACCCACAGTGCACACATTTTTATTTATTTATGTATTTGATTTGATTTCCCCTCTATTCAGTGTCAAAAGACTGAAATAAATAATTCATTGATACCAATTATCCCATATTCTAATAATATGTGCAAAAAGAAGCCTCAGGATCTCATATTATAAAACAGATATGCAAGTGTTTCCAGAACACCAAATGATTAAAGCCTCAGGATCTAAAAAAGTAATTTCGTAGTAGATTTACGAGATCAATTCTCTAACCTGAAGTACCCAAAAGCTCAGCAGTGATTCTAGGCAAAACAATGCAAATCCAATCAGGTAAAAAATCTGCATGAGAAAACAAGGCATTGCTCATTTTCACATAAATGTACATGTACGAGAAAAAGATGAAAACAAACAACAAAGATTATGTTTGAACCAAGTTAGAAAGCAACCACAGCCAAAAGAAACAAGTGAATGTTTAATTTTTTTTTTTTTTTTTGATAACCGTGGATGTCCGGGCCAGCTTGCGCGCACCTCGACTAATTCCACGGGACCCTGAAGTTTACGGTTCGTGGATGTTCGGGCCAACTTGAGCGAAACTCGACTAATTCCACGGGACCCTGAAGTTTACGGCCGGGTACTCACCTCAGTAGCCCCGAGGGGACTCGAACTGGTGACCATTGGGGAGCAAACTCAAGGCCTGACCAATTGAGCAACCCCTCAGGGTTAACAAGTGAATGTTTAATAACAACCAAATAATAATATCAGTCACAAAAATAATTTGAATAATTTTCGTACGGAACTTATCACAATCATAAAGGCCTCCACAGAATTTCCACTCTCTCTCCAATTAAAAGCATCTCCAAGAGACTCTTTATTTATAAAGAGCATATTATGCATTATAGCGAATATCTCCAACAATTTTGGCTCTTCATTTTGCTTTTCTCAATAAACATTTATCAATTTCTCCTCATATTCTATTCAACAGAATTTTTTATATGTTAATGGCCAATCAATTTAAATGTGGTTTGAATAGTTTAAGAAGTAGAGTATTGAAACATGTGAATTATTAAATGCAATCATTATACATTAAGAATAGAGAGAGAGTTTGGCTCTCTAAATTTGAAAAATTAAACCCACTTTCTATTTTGAAAAGTTAAAATAGAAAGTTTCCTCAAGTTTATTTTTAAGTATTAGCTCTTTAAAATAAAGAGCATTTTGTATTTAGAAAGTCTCTTGGAGATCATCTAAATAGCTTCAATATAGAAATCATAAAAATTTCTTCCGAAGCCATTACTTCACCTTTACTATTTAACATGTAATCATTCTAGCGACAATGTAACCAATACCAGAACATGTTTTTTTTTCCAGCATATCATCCCCAAACAACTAATCCAAAAAAGGTTCAATTGATACCAAAAAGACAGCATTGGCAAAAATAAGAAATGAAGTTTCCCCAGCTAATGGTTAAGCCCATGTCCACATTATATGCCAAGCAACAGCAAGCACTAAAAACCACTTGTTTATTGTTTAACAAAGAAAAGCAATGTAGGCCTAGCTGTTTAGATACATCTTCGCTCATTGGAACCATATAAGGGAGAATGAAACCAGAGGGACAAAAAATCTAAAGTTTAGCTTTAATTTGCTGGTGAAAGTACTTATAAATAGCAGGAAACCTACGTCTACACTCTCCCATCCCATCCCCAACCTGAAAATGTCAAGAGAAAAGAACCATAATCATCGCGGGATTTCGAAAATACAGGCAACACAAATCAAATTCATCACCACTGTTGACTAAGCCAATAGGGTAACCAGTATTTTCAGGACCATGCCCATCATATGTATTAAAGGAGACATTTTATATCAGCCGTTCAATTGCAAATTGCAACAAGCACAAACACAAGCATGGGCATACAACTTACCCCCACCAAGACATGGTCAGAAAAGACATCAATCGCAGCAAGGATACCCCTGACATCAGGAAAAGGAAAAAATAATACATTAGTCATGAAAAAGAAGAATAAGTGCAAACCGAATTCTGCAACCCAGGACTTCCAACTAATTAAATCAGCGGAGTTAATCCTATGCTGCAAGTCCTCCTAAAACAAGCTAATATATTCAACGTTAATAACAATAAATTGCTTCCTTTACAACAACTAAATGTCTCGCATCTTTTGCCTACCAGTTATCATTTAGGAAACAAGAGACTAGCATAAGATATTGTCACGGACAAAATGATATTAACCATTCTACTACGTAGAATAGGAGAGCAAATACAACAGTGCGCAGATTCTGTAATTCATAAGAGACTATATGAGAGATTTGCATAGCCAAAATTATATCAACCATTGAACTAAGTAGAATAAGACAGTGAATACAACAGTGCACAAATTTTGTAATTCAGAAGAAACCAAGAAGACCCATAAAATTCATTTTTCCAGGTTAAGAAGATGGAGGAAGAATCTCACGTTAACGATTTCCCATGAAAGACAATTGGAGGTGCAATTGCAGCAAATATGCAAAAACCAATGTGGAGCTGCATGGTGCAAATTAAATCAAAGATCAAAGATATCAGAAAAAATTTATAAATTCTTATATAGAAAAAATGTGCATGCCAATGAACAGAACATACCAAGTAGAAAAGGAAAAACCAGCTAAATTTAAGTGCACTGTCAGTCCTGAACTCAGAATCAATAAAAGAGAGCTGTTATTCCGTGATAATAGGAATCACCATAAAGCGAATAAGGAGATTTCAAGTACCTCATTGCACGATACAAAGGCCTGTACCATAGAACATATGAAAGGGGGCATCCCATAAGAGCATAGATTATAGCAAGGAAAAAAATCTTGACCCCTATAGATAGTAATACCACATTATTAGCACAGTAACAAAGTCCAGTAATTATTTGAATTAATACACCAGCAGATCTAAATGCAATGATGTGAAATGAAAGAACAAGCAGAAACTTACCACCGCCTCTTATCCAGCACACAGTGATGGCAACAACATTGAAGACAAGGCAAAGAACAATGCCTGTATAAATTTCATAGGATGAAGCAAATCATAATATTCAGGTACTAGTATTTGTGACAAACCACATATCAAAGTCTCACATACTCATGGACAAATATAAGGCAATTTTAATTTCCAATTTCAAACAAGTTAATAAGAAAATAAGTTAACAAATAAACTCAGTTTAGCCAATAATTGTTGATTACGCTTAGCATCAAATAACTAATTTATAGGATGAGACAGTGAGGCATTAATGTGTAACAATCACTAAACAGGTGAGTGAATAAAGATTTTCCAAAAGACTAAGCTTGTATAGTTTGAAAGATGTAACTGGTTCAGAACAAAGAAACAATATGCATGACATGTTCTCAAGTACGTGTACTATGTTCAGAAAATTGGTCGGCCAATTTCAAGCTAAGATCTACCTCAAATGAGCAGAGACAGAACTCAACTATAAAAATTCAAAAGATTCTTACAATAAATTCCTAGCGTGAGCATGCATATTTTCTAACAGAAACCAATGGTTCTCTCACACAATAACCATCATATCCAAGAACCAGTATTTAGCATGTTGATCAAAACTATTCACAAAACCCGTAACAGGAAGTAAATAAAAGATGCAACCTTTTTAAAAATCAAGAGGAACTTGACAAGTAAAAATCAAACAGGAAGGCACCATAAATACCTAACCAACTGGCAAAAGCCAGATACTGCAACCTTTGAGCATGAACTGGTATCTCATTGGCTATATCATGATGAATAATTGGAAAAAATGGGGGCCAATTTTTGTCATCCACAGGAACACCAGCTGAATCAAACCATTGCAAGCTGAATTAGAAACACGAGAGAACAAGAAACACAAAGCATAAACATGATGGTTCACGTCTATCTCATAACATACCACTGGCAACAGCATCTTCTCTACGTTTAATATCCTGCAAATCCACAAGTATTAAATACCGTTGAAAAGTTGAAAACTCAAAAAGGAGCAGAAATATATATATATTTATTTATTTATTTATTTATTTTTATTTTTTTTATCACAAGAAGGTGATAAATTGTGGAAGTATCTAAAAACTTGGAAAAACAAAATAGAGCAATACAGCAAAATCATTCTCAATGTTTTTTTTTAAGTTGCCATAAGCAATCTTTTAAAGTATTTTCGCAGAATGAATATGTTCAAATAACTTCAATGAAACATGGAAAACCAACCCTTTCTCTCCTGTTCAAATCCGCTTCCCAAGTTGAAAGTTCTCTCTCTTTTTTCCTTGGATCCTGAAAATTTATGCCACAATTTAGCTAAGAAATTTAGCTACTCATCTAGAAAATCGTTACATTGTCATGTCAACCACATTACATTCACTGTATCTAACGGTATATCCACGGTAGCATCATTTTTCTGGCCAAAACCCAGGGTATTGGCAACAATCTGCGGAAACCGTGACTTTGAAGCAGGAGCAGTACTGCCATTCTGCATCAGAACCCAACAAATGATATGATAAGAAACTACAGATGAGAACTACTATAAATCGAAAGTTTCTCGGGAGCCACCAGAATTGGACAAGAAGATGTAATCGACTAATAACTATAAGCTAAATTAATATTTAATCCAAATTAAGCATACCATTAGATCCTTAAGCTGATATTAGCTTTTCTGCAAGCCGTGATTTTCTTATTTTGTTCCCTTTTTTTTTGGGGGGGGTGGGGAGGGTTTGGAGCCTCTGGGACCCACAAATTCCCCAAAAAAATTACAGCCAATAGAACTTTTGACCAAAGCACACGACTTAAGCTTAATACCACTTATTATTTAGCCAAGAATTTCGATAACTACAGTCAATAAAAACTTGGACACATTGTATTAAGACTTTGTTATCCTCCTTTACCTAAGTGATAAATGCATCAATAATAGCATAATCTGGACCTGATAGTGGAATTAAATCCCCTAATATTTAGCACAACTTTTGCTCCACTGCACAAAACATATACCAGAAGAATTCAATGTGTGTGTCACCATTAAACCACTGGATTCAGCGGTAATATACATTTTCCGCAATATTTTCACTCGTTAATTATTCCAGAAAAATCCGATGAATCAACTTGACTTTTTCATCTAATCAGATTTATAGTAATTACAACCATTTACTCAAAACACACTTTTTTCCATAATCATAAGTTATCTTATATCCAAAATCATTACCCAATCGCTCCTAATTTCAAATAAAATTCCAAATTGACCACCGACAATGCCGGGAGATTCAGATCTACATCAAACAAACGCAATCCACCCGAAATCTCGATAATTCAGAGCCCCCAAAAAAATTTCACAGGCTGCAAAATGATAAACACTAAAAATAGGCAGATCCAAAAGTTGAAAATTTTGAGAGAACGGTTACCGAAAATGGATTGACTTCAGGTTCTTCCTCATCAAATGGATTAGGATCGTTTCTCCGATTCATTTTGCCAACAAATTTGCAGATAAGAGTTGCGAAAATAAAGTGATATTTGTACTTACGTATGCATACAGATGTGTAAATATAGCTCTAGAGAAAGAAGGCACTACAAGTGTGCCTTTTTGCTTGCTTTGGGGACAACGCGGGATTCGTGAACTTCAATAGGAATGAAATTGGATTCCCTAATTGCCACTGTGAGAAAGAGAAATTACGGTGGATAACCTTGTGTTAAGATGTGACAGGGGTTCACTGGGTCTTGTGCTGCTGTCGAAAAGATATGTGCCACGTATTATTAGTTTGACGTGTCAGCACAATATTGGGTGTGAATAGAGGAGTGGAGCCTTGGAAGTTTCACTTGATAGCTGTTGTATGAATTTGGGATGCTGCAATGAGACGCATATTTTGTCATTCCACCGAACAAACCTTCGAACCAAATAGAGTCTGTTAAAATTATTTAAAAAATAAAATATCTAACATTGTTTATTAATTATTTTAAGCAGGTAATTACACTTTCAACTTAATTTCAATTTAGTATCTACACTTCAATTTTGTTAAACCTTAATTTGATATCAATTATCCAATTTTATTAGAGAGAATGACGTATATCGATATCGCTACAATTATCCGTTTATTTCGAACTTTAAATAATACATTTTGTAAAAAGTAATTTTTTGAAGAATNATTGGTGCTTAGGATAAGATGAGCACCGGTACTCATTAGATCATTTCTGTATATATATATATATATATAAAGAATCAGTATCAAACACGAGCTTTATTGAAATTGTACTTGCTCTAATTCAACAATATAAGGTTATGAGTAATGGCCATCATTTATTGACTCCTATGTCAATAATTTCGAGCCAAATATTTTTTTTTATATATATAACCGTGGATGTCTGGTCAGTTTGCGCGTACCTTCACTAATCCCACGGAGCAATTTCCAACCAAATATATTAAACAGATTAATTATAAATAGATGAAAATGGGTGACAAATGAGTGAATAGTACTTGTGATATGTTGATGGAATGTAGTTTGACTGATTATAAACCATTTATAAATATTAACGAAGCGTCCATAAATTTATAACATATATCCTCAATACAATTACAACCATGCAATAAAACTAGGGATGAAATATATACAGCTGAAAACAAAAAGGAAGCTTAAGTTTTGACAAAACTGTGAAGCAAAAACCTTCACAAGCAATAGCTTCAATGTTCTGCAAAATTTGGAGCTGTTTTCATGTTGTTGCTTTGAAAAGATAATGCCGGTCTGTGTCAAAATCCTTTCCTCATGAAATGTTATCTCCTAAAAATGAAAAAACTCTCCTTTTGAAAATCTGAGCTAATTCAAAAATTTCAGATTCCCGAATTTGCCTCGTCATATTATCTTCCTGCCATAAGCACTTGATTTTACAGGTCAATCTGTTAGCAATGTCGACTGTCAAGCTTGCCATATCTCTCCTGTTTGTCAATGCTCGTAAAACAGGGATGGAGTATTGAGGATGTGAGACAAGTCTATTCAAGAGAATGAGCGTCTCACGAATGAGTAAACTTCTGCAAGAATAAAAAGTAGGAGCTGAGTATAATGAACAAGAACAGAGAAAAAAAGCAAGAAATTTCTCAAAAACTCTTCAAATAAAAGAATTTTAACTTCTAAAGATGTTAATTTTTGCAGTTTTCCTTTGGTTGCTCAAAGACCATCCTGAGCTATCAATTGCACATAAAAGATGATGTACGCAAAACAGGTGTCGAAAAACAGCATATTTCATAAAAAGAAACTAAATTCATAGAGACCTTGTGTTAAATAGAAGAAGAAAATTTTATAATGCAACTCTTTTTTCCATATAAACAATTGTGCATGGTCGTGTACTGAAACGTACCGGTTTCTGAAAACTTCAGGTAGTTGAGCAGATTCGAATGCTTCTAGGTCCAAATCTGATACTAAGTTTTGTGAAATGATTGTAAGGAAGTTGGTGCCTTTCGGAAGCCGATGATTTAGCAAAATTTCAAATCCAGATTTTCCTGATACTCCTAAGAAAGCAAGAAAATTAATAGCATTTCTTCGAAGCTTCAATTCCTGGAAGTTTAGAAAAATCAAGATAATGAAATTAGATGAAATGAGTTTTAATATCGTATAATACTTTACTCGTGCAGTAAACTGGAAAAGAATATCCGAGACAATGACTCGCATTTTTTTCCTGAATCCAAATTGCAACAGGTGAATGAAAATCGCTCAACTCAAAGTCGCAAAAAAAAAAAAAAAAAGAAAGATGAAATCAATTCAATCAACGTTATATAATTGGCAATCCCAGGCAATCCGATGGACAAACACTAATGCAACAACTTTAATGTAAACATAGTCAAAAAATGAAAATGGAGAAGGAAAATTGGAAAATTTCCACATTCTATAGGATTTTTTTGGCATAAAGATGAATTTCTGCTAATAAGATTAACAAGATATGTCAATCTGAAAAGGGTACAATAATCAAGGTCATACGTCTAAAGTCTAAACCCATTTGAATATTCTTACGATCATATGGCTCAGAAAATAAATAAATTGGATAGGTCCAAAAGTATGATCAATCTCATTTCCAGGCACAAACAAGAGAACAGAGATCATATCACATGACAAATTGGTTCCCAAGATTGGATTGCTTATGTACTGGAATTTTTACATCGGGTATCTAACACATGTTGAAGCAGTTATCAATTCGTCGGGCATATAAATCCAGTTCGCAAAAAGCCTACGGTAAAATGATTATTGAATATGCACTGCTATAAAGGAGACTAGCAGCCCCATACACCAAGACCTCTTATTCCGGTCCTTAGGCTAGTGTTACTTTCAAGCTTCTCTTTTTTGCCAAACTAAATTTTAGAAGTCACATTCTTTAACTATCAAACTTACTTTTTAGAAAGTATGTCTTGACTTAGTTCTAGAAAAGTAACTTTTAAGCTTACACCAAAATTTCTAATAACACTGCATAATGATGCAACCATGAATTACTTGAAAACATCCAAGTCAAGATAACAAAGATGAGGGAATGTATAATTATTTAATACTATGCTTACCTCTGCAGTATTTTCGCTGCAAGCCACACAATCTGCCAAACCAATTATAATCTCATTCAATCCTTGAGAAATTGTACTGTTTCTGTTAATATCTTCTCTGGAAGCACTCTCTGCCTCCTCTTTAGAACCAGAACAAAGCATCACTATAACTTTTGGACCTTCATAAAATGAAGAAAATTATTACAAATTAAAAAAAAAAAAAGAAAAACCACCTTACATTTCCATTATCTATTGGCAAAAATAGGGAATAAAAGCAACATTTACAATGGAGGAAAACTACTGCCCTGTTGAGACGTGATATCGAATAACGTTATATCTCATCTCGTTAATTAAACTTCTTCCTGTTTAAAAATTATATGAAAAATAAGATCTTGTGAAAACCCAAGGGATTGCCGAAGTAGAACAGGGTTTCATCGTTTTTTTGAATTCAACATTGTTTAAATCAGTTAACGATTGACATTGGTAACCATATAAAGCAATTTGAGTGTATTTCCAATTCCTGAAGTTCATAAGGTTTCTTTAAATGAAACATGTAAATGGAGTGTTTAATTGATAAGTCCAGCATCTTCTGCAAAATCACCCAGTTACATCCCAAGTTTCGAAAATTGGTGCTGTCAAATATATAGATGTCAATTCTAGGAACAAGATCTCAAGCACCCATCTCAAGTAGTCAATGCGATGTCCAGAACGCATCAACCAATCATAACACATACTTTCATTGTTCAATAACCAATACTTTAAACCATGTAAGAACGCGTGCTGGTACCAGAAAACATGAACCCAACAACCAATAAAATTACCTGATTTTGGTTTTAGAAATCACCATCAAAAGAATCCTAAGGTCTGAATAAGTGTAACCACAAACCACGTTAATTTCAAGGATAATGCTTATAGACAAAGTTTGTTGCAAGCAGAGAATAATTCCCAGGGATTCTTCTCTACAAACATGATTACGGAAACTGATCAAACAAAACTTGGGGGCAGGTTTAGATGCTAGAAAATCAAGAAGAAATATTGTTGATCCATATGGATTGTTTAAGCAAATCAGAGTACAGATTAACTCACAATTACATAGCAGGTAAAGAATCTGCAGAGCTCTGTCCTGCACACATAATCCGGCCTCCCTCCTCAATACTTTTGATAAACTTTGAAACACAAGTTTCCCAGCAAACCTGTCCCAAAGAGGACCGTGAATAGAATATTAGACGGACAAAAAATGTGTCATAGAAGACAAGGAAATAACTACTTACTTTTCTCTCTCCAAATATGCATTGCTTCTCATAAGAATCAAATTCATGACAGAAAGAGCTTCACATCTTATATTCTCTTCTTTGTTCATATCGGTGATTTGGCACATATGCTCAAAAAGAGGAAACCAGAAGGCGTAAGTAGTAGATGCCGGAACACTACTATTGAAAAACTCATTATAACGAGGAGTTTTGACATTAGAAAATTTCAATCCACATGGAATTTGGCCACTATTTAACATCTCTGATGCGTTTGAAAAAACCAGGCTTTTATTTTCAGCACATCCATGCCCATTTGATTCTGCAGTACTGTTTTCAGAGGAAAGTTCCCCGTCCACAACATTGTCCCTGGTACAGTACACTGGAGGGATCAAATCAGAGTACATAAGGATATTAATATATGTACCTTAGAGTCTAAACTTTCTATTTCCTGTGGTTGTGGAAGGGAGTGGCAAAAAAGGATTAATATATCGTTTATCCAACCCAAAAGTTTACTAGGAATAAGGCTAAGCTTCTTGATTTTGTGGAAGTGGGAAGGCAGAAGGAAGAAATAAATTAAAAAAAAAAAAAATGGCATTACAGTGAAGGACAGAGAGAAGAACACCTCAAAACATAAGCTAACTGCTCCAAATGGCATACAAGAACAGTAGAAGCTAATGTTTAAGAAATAAGAGATACTAATGAT